GTCTGGGCTGCCTGATCTACGTGTCGCGATGTCATAATTTCATAGATCATAGGCCTTGTAGGTCTTTTGGGCCTTCCAGGCTGTTTGGACCTTCTAGGCTGTCTGATTTACGTCACACATGCTATAAATAGATATTTATACTATAATAAAATAATAAATACTACTGTTAAAAATAAACTAATAATAATTCGATAAAAATAAGTAAAAATAAGACTAAGTTATCTATTCTATCACAATACTCCTCCAGGTATTGTATGCAGTAGTATACGGTAGTATTACAGATTCAATTTCAAGTGATAACAACAGATAGAAATCACAATTTTTATCTAAATCTGAATAATCTATGAGGACAATTGAATAGAATTAATATTATATTTGATGCCATAACTTGTATAAGTGCTGTTTCTCATAAAAAGCCATTTTATATACTAATTTAGTAAGCATTGAGATTGTGATTTCCAAAAAAGGTATTGTGGCATAACAATCATCCAGTTGATATTACAATAATCACTAGAAGTTATAAGATATATGAAGTGCCTGCTTTCAGTAGAATGGCTTGATGATTTTTTTCCTGTAATACCTAGTGTTTTTCTTACAAGTTTTCAAAAAGACCTTATTTCAATTTAATAATAGATCATTCTGACAGTTATCTATTTCAAAAAGGCAACCAAAACAACAATAAGTACCAATAGCTAAAACAATCTATAGGCAGTAAGTCTATAAGATAAGTTTCTTAAATGTTCTTGGATAACTCTAGAAAGATGAAAATTAAATGATATACCTATCTGTAAATGATTGGATTTAGAAGAATTTTCTTTGCAGGAGTTTTATTTGCTTAATAGATATTACTTCTAATTTCCCTTTTTATATTTTTCCTTAATATATTTCCAGTTAGAAATAGAACCTTCCATACAATAATAACACTAATGGAGCTTTAGCACATTGGTCTTGACATATGTAGATCTCCAGGTTTATAGTCAATAATAACAAGCTGACATGGAGTAAAATCCAATGTAATCTAGTGATATTTAGAGTAATTCATAAGTAACTTCCTTTTGTAATACATAATGTAAAGCATATATGAATTAAATAAAAGAATGCATAGGCAAGGCCCAGCTAGTCAAGTTAAAAAAAAAAAAAATTTTTAAAAATTTAAAAATTTAAGTACTTTAAATAAACAAAAAAAAAACCAGTTTTGTATAAAATGCAATACATTACATATAAAGATAACTTGTAATCGACGATCACTGATAGACCAAGTTTGAATTTTGATATGACTTCTGCTGAACAAAACATGCTTACACAACTAGAAAATATGATATGGCATTCCTTGGACAATCACTTATATAAAAATGCAATTTTTCTTGCGGGAAGATTACACGCACAAGATTGCAACAACGAGAATTCGCGTTTTCTATTGGCAACATGCCTTTATCGCAATGGACAAAGAAAGGCCGCATATGTATTGCTAAAAGAGGCTCAAACATTAAAATGCAAATATCTCTTCGCAAAATGCTGCTTGGAACTTGACAAAGCAGAAGAGGGCAAAGAAAAACTTATGTCTATTTTGCCAGAGGTTGAAGAAATGGATCCCTTTGGTAAACAAGATTTGATCTGTCGAATTTTTGGCAATTATAAAGAATACTATATGAATTCTATGCTTATTCAAATATATAACTATGGAAAAACATGTTTTAATAATCAAAACAAAAAATGGTTTAATCTCTAATAGATACTTTTTGTTCTACAAGTAAAAATCATCAACCTGACGCGTCCGCGGTTCTATGTCTGCTAGGTGCTTTAAGTAAACAGGCGCGTCGTATCGATGATGCGGCAGATTACTACCTTCGTTGCATAAAGAAAAACCCTTTTATGTGGGAAGCATTTGAAAGTCTTTGTCAGCTCGGTATGTGAACATTGATTGTTTTGAAAAAAATTTTCCTTTGTCACTCATCATGATTGATCAAAATAGGTAAATCAAAGCAAGTCGATATTGACGAAATCTTTCAGTCGAATGTAGATAAATCGGCGAGGGTTCCTTGTGGCGACTTATTTCGCAACTCTCAAATATTTGTATCACATTCGGTATGTAGCAATTATAATTTTTTTTTCTTAGGCGTATGATTCATTCGCATCCTATTCGATCTTAGAATTTAAAGAATGATAAAAGTCCACGGCGAAGTACGCGAATTTCTTCCATAAGGGTTTGCATATTTCTCCCGTCAAAACTTGATCCATCTTTGACCATTAATTTATAACTGTCTGCATTATTTTGAAACACAATGCAGCAAACCACAGTAAACTTGAGTTCTGCAGCTGTAATTGACAATAGAGACAAGAAACGTTCTCGCATCTCCAACGAAGAAAGAAATTTAATTAGCCTAGATGATGAAAAGAAACGATCCCGGTTAACCAGAGATGGAAAATTGATCACAAACGTAGAGAATGAAGTTGTAAATAAATGATTTTGTGTCAATATTTTGCAAGTTCAATGTCAATAACATCATTTTTCTGATATTCATATTAATGGGCTTGATATTAGGCCGAAGCCTTGCAAAAAACAACGCTGGATCCCCAGATTGGGATGGAAGGTGTTGGAACGGTTGATAGGATGGAGGAAATTCAATGGAAAAACGAAATATTAGACGTATTAAGACAGTTAGCCAAAGGATACGGATATTTGAGTCGATATGAATGTGCAAAGGCCATCAAAGCTTTTACAGAGCTTCCTATTTCGCATAGAAATACTGCGTGGGTCCAAAGCCATATAGGAAAGGCATATTTTGAAATGGTTAATTACCAATTGGTAATTTTTACCTGTTTATTTATTTATTTGTACATCAATTGGAAAGGAAATTTGACCATTATCTATATATTCGATTAGGCCGAAAAATATTTTCAGAAAGCGCGACAATTGGAATCTTATCGCCTTGAAGACATGGAATTATATTCAACAACACTATGGCACTTACGCAAAGATCCAGCTCTTAGTGCTCTCGCACATGATCTTGTTGAGTTCGAGCGTCGATCACCTCAAGCTTGGTGCGCAGTTGGAAATTGTTTTAGTCGACAGCAGGAACATGATTTAGCGCTGAAGTGTTTTCAACGAGCAATACAGCTTGACTCCTCGTTTACCTATGCGCATACCCTATCCGGTCATGAATGCATGGCTAATGCGAATTACAAGGATGCACAAAAGCACTTTAGGAATGCTTTAAATACAAACAGACGTCATTATAACGCTTTGTAAATATCAATTGTAAGATTATAAACCATCCATATAACTAATTATTCATCTCAAAATCATTGTTCTCAGGTATGGTCTCGCGAACTACTACATTACATGCGGTAAAATAAAAGAGGCGGAAATACATTATCGATCAGCTATGGATATTAATCCGAATCATGCTGTCCTTATGTGTTGCTTAGGAAAGGTAAAGTAGTAGTGTACATTTTACGTTATGAGAGACAAATCGCTAATTGTTAGACACGAACCAATGCCAGGTGCTGGAAAAAATGGGAAATTCTGAAGAAGCTCGCATCCTTTATGACCGAGCGTGCCAAGTTAATCCGCAAACACCTTTGGCCATATTCAAGAAAGCAAAATCTCTATATAAAGATTATAAATATGAGGTTTTTTTTTTATTTTATTTTGTTTCTCCTTTGTAATAAAACTCCATTTTTATAACCGTGATTTTGTAATATAAAGGCAGCACTCTTTGAGTTGGAAAAACTTAAAAAGATAGTGCCTACCGAAGCCAAAATTTATTTTCTTATAGCAAAGATTTACAAAGCGATGGGAGATCGGACTGAAGCCACTCAGAATTTCACGTTGGCTTTACATTATGACCCGAAAATGATGCATGTTGTAAAAACCGCCATGGAGAGACTTGAGACTGATCAAGAATTAACGATCGGAACATCAATTATATCGGATGCAATTAATTATGGAAGTCAAGGGGACGACGAAGATGTGCATGAACAGGAGCAAGTAGGCCAGGTAAACATTCAAAACGACAGAGAGGAAGACTACGGTGGATATGCAGCCTATGTTGACGAAGTTTAAATGCGTTGTTCGGAGAATTTCGCTATGAAATGACGATGGCGTAAAAATAATTTAAAATGGAAACAACAGATTCATGGAAAATTTGTGATCATATGGAATTGTATTATTAACGGCTTCGAATAAAGGAGGTTTCCTGTAAATAGGTGAGCAGATTTTCTGCATTATACCGAATCTAACATATAGAATACATCACATAAAGATATCAATGCATAGAATCTATCGATTACGTTCAAATAATAACGTTGACGCATGTCGTTTTCTTTCTGTTAATACAATATAATAAACAAAATAGGCACATTCTAAAGAAATAATCCAGAATTGGTAATCAGCAGATATTATAATGCACATTAATTTTATGGGATAGTATTATAAACTACCGATTTGTCAAATTATGACAACCAGCTATAAAAAGGAATGCGAATTTAAATGCGAATGTCAATTTCTCAGTTGGTTTTCTTACAATTAACAATTACTCGTTGATATACTTGATTAAATTCTGGATCATTCTGGCATAAAAAATTATCGATAACTAATTCCTCCATTTTCCTCCTCAACTCAACCTGCGCTGCAGGATCTTCCCGGAAAGGCTGAAAGCTTGCCCTGAGCATACTTTTAGAATCTTCTATAGCGGCGTTGCTAAGGGATTCGAGTTCCCTAAGGAGATAACGCTCATCTATCGATTCGGCAGGGAATAACACCGGGCCTACTTGCGATATGGCAATGAATACGGTTATAAAAAGTTGTCGAAGAATAGTAACCTGTTCGAAAATAACCCAACGCGATAAGCCAAAGGGAATGATGGCAAGTGTGTCGGGGTGTAAAATTATCAAAGATTCAATACAGGCCACGCCAAAAAAAACCACAAATCTCCAGAAACGTCCGAATTGACCCTTTCCTAATATGTTAAGGATGAAAAGTACTAGGCCAACTCCTAGATAAAATCCAATGAAGGAAGACCAACCATGCGCAAGGTAATCACGAATGGTTAAACAATTGTTACAATTCTCGATTTCTGGTCCAAACCTACGTCGTGATTCGGTAAATTGTTTATTATTACCCACATTGTTAAAAGGAACGCGTTTTGCGACTACAAATTATAAAATCGAAGAACAAACCTGTCATACGCAAACCGTTTTGTAGGATCCATCAAAGTTTCATAGGCTACTCGCAATGCTATAAAATTTGCCAGAGCTGCTTCATCCTGATTTTTATCGGGGTGAAATAATAATTGTCTATAAATATATAAAGGTTTTTAATATGGATATATTTAGAATGATTATTTACGATTATGAAGGATTTATCTTACAGCTTCCGGAAGTTATTCTTAATTTCTTTGGCAGAAAAGTCTTGATCTATATTAAGCGCAGCATAGTAATTCGGTTGTATGGAATAAATAACATTTACGATCGTGTACACTAAGTATGCTAATACAACAAAAGTGTATATCCATCTATAATGTGTGGCATGTCTTGGTTGCCCGGGTTTTGGATATTTAACTCCAACGCAGTGTGCAATCTTGTAACAAAAAGTTTGAATGAAGCTTGTCGCTAAATTTGGAAGAAATGTCCAACCCAAGAAATTCAACCAATCTGACATTGTTGGATTAAAAGTAAACAGCGCGTACAAGCAGAGTTTAAGTTTCTATTTTAGATCGAATCTGCACGTGCAATTAGTTGATTTTATTTGATATATTTTTGTCCTTACAAGTAATCTTGAAATAAAATTTAATACGTATTTAAAATTTTAATTAAAATTTTTAAATATTTATTGCTCAATAGGAAAGTATTCAATTTTATAAGTAATTTTATTCATCTCCAAAATCATATCTAGAGATAACCTTACCTAATATGGGTATTTAAGTATTGTATATTTTGTATTAAAATTAAATAAACTTGTTTGATTATAAAAAAAAAAAGTATTTAATTTTAATAAAAAAATTAAAAATCTAAATTTGTAATAATAATTTAATTATTATTTATTAATAGAATAAATAACAATATTAAAAATTTATAGGTTTATAGCATAGTAATAATACTTTTATTATTATTAAACAAGATTTAAAATTCAGATTTATTTAATTACAAAAATAAAAATTGTATCAATAAAAAAATTGTATAAAAATTTTTTTGATTTAATTATTAACAAAATTCTATATATTAAAATTAAATTAATAGATTTTAAAAAATAAAAAAATTTTAATTTTAAATTATTCTAATTTAATACTTATTTAAAAAATTAATTTAAAAAATTAAATATTAGTTAAATAAAACAATAATTTTTTAAAATTATAATCTAAGAAAAAAACCATAACAAAATCAATATTTCTTTTAATCAAAAATATATAAATATAAAATTTCAAGAATTATTATTATTATTATTATTATTATTTTTTTTTTATTTTTTTTTATTTTTTTTTTAATTGGTTGAGACAGTTTATTAAATATTCGTTTTGTAGTTATTACATCAAACATCTTTATAAAGTAGGTTATTGCTATTCTAAATACAAATTAATGTTATCTAATAATTACTGTTTTTAGTAACCCCAGTTTCCTCTAGATCAATTATAACATACCTAGCTATATGAATTTTAAACATCAAGTAGATAATCCACACACCAGGTGGGACTTATATAGGGGGTGAGAATCCTACCTCTAGTTTTAAATCATCTAATCTACTAGGTCTAGTCTCGACTGCATCTGTTGTGAGTGGGACACGTTGTGGAATATTATTATAGAGATTGATTCCAGTATTTCATTTGCTATTATTACTAATCTTCAAGATATACCATTAGCATAATGCAGCACTACCATTTTCACCACCTGTGTAACTGACATTCTTGCTTGAATTCCGATTTAATCTTGTAGATCCTCACTAAACTCACTTGGTTTAATAATTTTTGTTTAGTCTTCTCATCACCTGTGGTTAATACCTTACCCATCAGTTATATGATTAAGTTCTGTGAAACATCACTATTGGGATAGATCTACAAGCTTCAAATTGGGATAAATCAGCTTAGAATTAACCTCTTTATGTTATATAACAGAGTCTACCATCGTCAGTTTGGATTAGAGTTTGTAAGCTTATTACCAGAATTAGACCAGAAGCCTTTCTTTATGCAACCTTTCTTGCTTCAACTTGTTTTTAGCTTGCAATCATCAGGAAGATCAAAGGTCTCATCTTTATGCAGCCTAATTAAATTTGGAGATAGATTTTGTTGACTAATTGGGTATGACATAAATTGGAAGCCAGTCAATCAATCATGAAGGTGATAAATTTTTGTAACCAGGTGGGATTGAATCCTAAATCTTTTAAGAATTACTTTTTTAAAAATTTTTTTAATTAATAAAATCTTTAAAAAAATTAAATATAATCAGATAATATAAAATATTTAGAAATATTAATTATTAAATTTATTTCTTAAAATAGTTTTTTTTTATATTTTCTAAAACTATATTGTTAATATAAATATAATAACTTTAATAAAATTTAATTATTTTTTTTTTAAATAAGCAAATTTTTCATTTTTTCAAACTATTTTTAAAGATCTTAATTAATTGTAAATAGGGATACTAGACTTGATAGGCTTGTATAATAACTTCAATATCTTTTTAATTAATTGAAATAAAAAAATTGTTAATTAAAATTTCTTTTATAGTAATACAAATATATTTATATTCTGAATTATTTAGCTAATCTATATACAGTATGGGACAAAAATAATGACACTTTTTATTTTTGTTATTATTTAATAAATATTTATTTAAATTAAATAA